TCATTACTATGCATTTTTTGTATTCTATACTAATTGGCACATACGAGAGAAAACATGATATTTGTCTTTTTGATACTGGCTTATCTCATTAAGGGTAATTGTTTCCAGTTGCATCCATTTTGTTGCAAAAGACAAGATTTCATTCTTTTTTATGGCTGAGCATTTTTAGAAAGCTTTTTTCAAAACACTTTATCAGGCCAGCGCCGCGGCTCACTTGGCTAATCCTCTGCCTACAGCGCCGGCACCCCGGTTCTAGTCCCAGTTGGGGCGCTGGATTCTGTCCCAGTTGTTCCTCTTCCATTCCAGCTCTTTGCTGTGGCCCGGGAAGGCAGTGGAGGATGGCCCAAGTGCTTGGGCCCTGCACCCCCATGGGAGACCAGGAGGAAGCACCTGGCTCCTGGCTTGGGATCGGCGCAGTGCGCCAGCCAGAGTGGCCATTTGGGGGGTGAACCAACGGAAAAGGAAGACCTTTCTCTCTGTCTCTGTCTCTCTCTCTCTAACTCTGCCTGTCAAAAAAATAAAATAAATAAAATAAAACAAAAATAAAAAACTATTTATTTATTTGAAAGACTAACAGAGAGACAGGTATCTTTTTTTTTAAGATTTATTTGTTTATTTGAAAGGCAGAGTTACACAGAGAGAGAAGGAGAGGCAGGGAGAGGGAGAGAGAGAGAGAGAGTCTTCCATTTGCTAGTTCACTCCCCAATTTGCCGAAATGACCGGAGCTGTGCTGATCCAAAGCCAGGAGACAGGAGCTTCCTCCAGGTCTTCCCACATGGGTGCAGGAGCCCAAGGACTTGGGCCATCTTCTACTGCTTTCCCAGGCCACAGCAGAGAGTTAGATTGGAAGTGGAGCAGCTGGGAATTGAACCGATGCCTATATGGGATGCCAGCACTGCAGGCGGCGCCTTTTCACACTGCACCACAGTGCCAGACCCAAAGAGAGAGATATATCTTCCATCCATTGGTTCACTCCCCAAATGGCCAAAAAGGCCAGGGCTGGGCCAGGAAGAAGCCAGGAACCAGGAGTTTCTTTCAGGTCTCCCACATGGGTGGCAGGAGCCCAAGCACTTGAGCCATCTTCCACTGCTTCTCCCAGACCATTAGCAGGGAGCTGGACCAGAAGTGGAGCAGCCGGGCCTCAAACCAAAACCCATATGGGGTGTCGTTGCAGGTGACAGTTTTACCCACCACATCACAATGCTGGCCACCATTTCTAGAAATCTTACGTTGAGTGACATTGGCCTCGTGGCTTTATGGGATGAAAAGAGAAGTTAAGACATCAGGGGTGGGCCGGCACTGTGGCGTAGCAGGTAAAGCCTCCACCTGTGGCACTGGGAGCTCATATGGGCAGCAGCTCATGTCCCAGCTGTTCTTCTTCTTATCCAGCTCTCTGCTATGGCCTGGGAAAGCAGTGGAGGATGACCCAAGTGCTTGGGCCCCTGCACCTGCATGGGGACTCAGAAGAAGCTCCTGGCTCCTGGCTTTGGATCAGCCCAGCTCCGGCCATTGTGGCCATTTAGGGAGTGAACCAGCAGATGGAAGACCTCTCTCTCTGTCTCTCCCTCTCTCTATAACCCTACCTCTCAAATAAATAAATAAAATTTTTAAAAAAATACATCAGGGGTACAGACTCCTGACAACTATGGCCAAGGGTATAGGGAAGCTGGAACAGACACTCATTCAGAAGATACTTGACAGCAAGTAAGCATCTGGTCAAAAGATCTTCGACATCATCCATTAGGAAAAAACTAATTAAAACCTCAATGAGATATCACCATACATCCTTCAGAATAGTTCAAATTAAAAAGACCAACTTTTCCAAATGTTGATGAATATGTGGAGAAATGAACTCTCCTATACTACTGGTTCTTAATATTAATAATATTAGGAGGGCCGGCTCTGTGTAGGTTAATCCTTTGCCTGCGGCACCAGCATCCCATATGAGCGCCGGTTCTAGTTCCGGCTGCCCCTCTTCCAATCCAGCTCTCTGCTATGACCTGGGAAAACAGTAGGAAGTGGCCCAGGTCCTTGGGCCCCTGCACCTGCATGGGAGACCAGGAAGAAGCACCTGGCTCCTGGCTTCGGATTGGCGCAGCTCCGGCTGTTGCGGCCATCTGGGGAGTGAACCAACGGAAGGAAGACCTCTCTATCTCTCCCTCTTACTGTCTTTAACTCAATTTGTCAAATAAATAAAGAAAATCTTTAAAAAAAAAAAAAAAACTTTGGGAAATAATTTTGCAGGTGTTTTAAATTTTTTGCATTTATTTCATTTTTACATAAAAGGCAGAAAGGTGAGATCATCCACTCAACTGGTTCACTCCCCAAATGCCAACAACAACCCGGGATGGGCCAGGCTGAAGCCAGGAGCCCAGAACTCAATCCAGTTCCAGCTACTCAGCTTCTGACCCAGCTTCCTGCCCATGCGCCTGGGAAGCAGCAGATGACGGCCCAAGTACTTGGGCCTCCGTCATCCATTGTGGGAGACCAAGAGGGAGTTCTGAGCTCTTCTTGGCTTTGGCCCAGTCCAGACTTGACTGTTGTGGTCACTTGAAGAGGGAACCAGTGGATGGAAGACCTCTCCCTCTCTGCCACTCTGCCTTTCAAAATAAAATTAAATAGATGAAATCATAAAATTTATATAAATGGTTACCTATAAAGTGCAAGAGAAAGAGAGAAAATAGACTAGAAAAAAGGGGTGGAATTTATTTGAGGATGCTTTATTTTATAGCTTTGACTTTGGAACAATGTAACACTTTATATAATTTTTAAGCAATCCCTAAAAACTCAATAAAAATAAATGCACCTCAGTGTTTATCTGAAAAAAAATCATTCAGGAAGTAATCATGTCAAAGTGACTTTAAAATACAGTAATTACAGTGATGTGGGTGGGTGTTGTGGCACACCAGGTTAAGCTGCCTCTTGGGATGCTGGCATCCCATATCAGAGATTCAAGTTCCAGCTCCTCCACTTCTGTCCCAGCTTCCAGCTAATGCACCCACAAAGCAGTAGACGATGGCCCAAGTGCTTGTGTTCTTACCACCCCTGTGTGATCCCAAATGGAGTTGCTGGCTCCTGCCTGCTGGTTTCAGCTTGGGCCAACTCTGACTGTTGTGGGCATTTGGGGAGTGAATCAGTAGTTGAAAGATCTGTTACTCTGCCTTTCAAATAAATAATCAAAAATATATAAATATATAAATAAAATACCGTAATTTTGCTGAGTATTCCCCTTGGATTCTACCCTAAGGACAGAAGATCTCAAAAAAAAGATGTTTTGGGGCCGGCACTGTGGCTTAGCAAGTAAAACTGCCACCTGAAGTGCTGGCATCCCATATGGGCACCGGCTGCTCCACTTCTGATCCAGCTCTCTGCTATGGCCTGGGAAAGTAGTAGATGTCCCAAGTCCTTGGGTCCCTGCACCCACGTGGGAGACCCAGAGGAAGCTCCTGGTTCCTGGCTTCCGTTCAGTACTTGAGGCCAACTAGAGAGTGAACCAGCAGATGTAAAACCTCTCTCTCTCTCTCTCTCTCTCTCTCTCTCCCTCCCTCCCTCCCTCTCTCTCCTTTTGTGTGTACCTGTTTCAAGTAAAATAAAATAAACTTTTTAAAAAGATGTTTTCACTGATTTAATTTCTTTAATTTATTTGAAGGGCAGAGAAACAGACACAGAGTGATATTCCATCTACTGGGTCATTCCCCAAGTGCCTCCAACAGCCAGAGCTGGGCCAGGTCAAAGCCTAGAGCATAGAATTATATCCAGGTCTCCCACATGGGTGGCAGGGAACCAGTTACTTGAGCCATTGCCCTTTGTCTCCGAGGGTTCACATCAGCAGGAAGCTAGAATTGTGAAAGAAGGCGTGACTCAAACTGAGGCACTCAGATATATATGAGCACCCTAAGCAGCATCCTAACCACTATACCAAATGTCTTCCCCTTTATTGATCTAATAATCAATTTTGATGATTGTGTTATTTTGAAACTGTCGTGCTTATATGGTATAATAAATGAGCAATTAAGTTATATTCTAATTCTATCATCTTCGGTGTCCTGGAAATGGAAATGACGAGCATGACAAAAGAGAGCTGTATGGATGTAAGATAAAAAAGGTTCAGGTGAAATCCTTTAGTCCTTATGAAACCATGGGGCAGCATATCACAGCAACTGTTACAGTAGGAATGGGCATCCCTTGCACTCAGATTGTGAAACACGGCTTCCTATTAGAAAGGAACCAGGGGTGGGGAGGGAAGCTTGGCATTTAGCTCTGTGGCTGGAATGCCCACACCCTAAGTTAGAGTGCCTGATTCAAGTCCCAGCCAGACTTCCTGCTTCAGCTTCCTGCTAATGTACACCCTGGAAGGCAGCAGGTGATGGCTCAAGTACTTAGGTCCCTGTCACCCAAGTAGGAGACCTGCATGGAGTTCCAGACTCTTGGTTGGGGCCTCACACAGACACACCTGTGTGGGCATTTGTGGAGTAAACCAGCAGATGGAAATCCTCTGTCCCTCTGTCTTTCAAATAAAAGGTAGGTAAGTAAATAAATATGTACATAAATGGAATCAGTGTCACTTCTAGAAATGAGTGCTTCTGGACTTGGAACAGGAAATAAACAAAATGAACCCAAACCATCTTGACATACAAATGGCAAAGAAACTATCCAAGATTCTCAAGGTCACATGGAAAGACTTAGAGGCTAATTTAGAGACTATCCCTATGGCCAAAGCTAGGCTAACTTAAGTACTAACAAACATCTTCAGCGTAATAGACTGAACCATATCAAATACACTTAAATTTGTTTCAGAAAAACCTGGCATAGGAAACCAGCTGTTGAAGGTGGAAGTTACCATGAAACCAAAGAAAGAGGCGGACAAATCCAGGATTACACACAGTGCAGTTTATCAGAACCCTGTCCCAGGCAGTGGCAAGACCAGAGGAGCCCCACACCAGGAAGCACGAGAGAAGGGTTTTATAGAGAAAGGGGGTCTGTGTCTCACCAGAATGTACCTTAACTTTCTCAAGAAACATTAACATTCCAGGCGTCAGGCAGGAGACATTCCAAGATCAGATAAAAGTATCCAGCTATCCTGATGACTTTATCTGTAGGGTTTGGGATGACTGTGAGCACCACCTAGAGGGCAAGAAAGCAGCTGCAGCCAAGAGGACCGCAGCCAGACCAAGCCACATCCACGCACATTCACAAGTCCTTAGCTGTAATTTTTAAACTCTGATTACTTTTGAAGGATGCTAATAACTCACTGTTTTTTAAAATAGCAAGTACAGGAAAAGATTTAATGGGCATGCTCTGGGAACAGCAGTTAAGACACCACTGGGGATGCCCACAGTCCACATCAGAATGCTTTGGTTCGAGCCCCAGTTCTGCTTCCAATTCCAGCTTCCTGTTCACGTGCACCTGGGAGGCAGCAGGGGATGGCTCAAGGAATTGGGTCCCTGCCACTTACATGGTAGACTAGAACTGAGTTCTGAGCTCCTAGGTGCAGCCTGGCCCAGCCTGATTGCAGACATTTGGGGAGTGAACCAGTAAGTCGAAGCACACGCTCTCTCTCTCGCTCACTCGCTCTCGCTCTTGCTCGCTCGCTCCCCCCCTTCAAAGAAAAATGAAAATAACAGATGTTTTAAAATATTTGAAGAAAAATAATGAAGCATCATTATGGTCTGAATACCTGTGTTCCCTCCCCCACAAAATCCATATGTTGAAATCCTAATCTCAGAGGTGATGGTATTTCAAAGTGGAGCCTTTGCAGGGAGTGGCTGAGTTGGAGGGGAATGAGATCAGTGCCCCTGTTAAAGAGACCTAGAGAGTGACTAGGACAGAGCAAGAAGGTGCCCTCAGCAGACACTGTATGTGAGTGCCTGTGAGGAAGAAACGTGCACTGTGTATAAATCTCCTAGTGTGTAGTATTTTAACACACCAACCCAAAAGGACCAAGACGGGCCTTTATCCTGACTCTCCTATACCACTGGCTAGCCAGATCCAAGGTAAGGAGCAATTTCCCTTCATAGAGATTGTCCAGATGATAAATGAGGGACAAGTCATCAACTTGGAAGATCACCATTTTACAACTCTGGGAGTATCACTCCTGACAAAAGCAGACATCAGCACCCATGAAATAAACCTCTCAAAATAAGGAACTGGAATCTGCTCAAGGCTCTAAACCCAACTGCTGCATGGTGGTCAAGCGATCAGCCAAATTCAGAATGAAAATTCCACAGCCCACCCCATTTCCTTCAGGACAACAAAACAGGAAGAAGGGGAAAAAGTAACGTATAAAGAAACTCATGTTATCCACCGATCATATTGTGTAAACCTTTTACAATAAATTCAACTTTGAATTCCACTTTCCATGAACTTGTTTTTGCAATTATTTATGTCTTTGAGATGGGGGGGGGGGGATCTTCCATCCACTGGTTTACTCCCCAGGTGACCACAATGGCTGAAGCTGCGCCAATCCGAAGCCAGGAGCTAGGAGCTTCTTCCGGGTGCAGGGACCCAAGGACTTGGGCCATCTTCCACTGCTTTCTCTGGCCATAGCAGAGAGCTGGATCAGAAGTGGAGCAGCCAGGACTCGAACTGGCACCCACATGGGATGCTGGCACTGCAGGTGGCAGCTTTACCAGCTACAGCACAGCACCGGCCCCTGAATGTCATTTTTAAAATCCTGCATCTATTAGGATGGTTATGATTGTTTAACTTCTGTGTCGAAAGATACAACAACATAATAATCTTTATTTAGTATAAAGAATTGCTATTCCGCATTAGAGAACCGAAAGGTCACAAGTGGACATTGCGATTTCACAGAATAATTGCAGGAAGCAACTAGCACCTAAAAGGACCCAGAGTTTGGATAATGGAGCTCCTTAGCTGCTACCACTGCCTCCACTGAGGGACTGTGCACAGGCTGACACAATGTATCTAAGAGGCCCTAGGAAAATGTTTCTGGGAGTGTGCAAACTGGAACCCACTGCATCTAGTACAATCAACTGATGTTACTGTCAGGGTGAGAAGCCACACTGAGAGAATGCTAACTGGGTGACTGGAAGAAGAAGCAAACAAGAAGGAAAAGTGTCCCACTTTCAGTCCTACAACCTGCCTTTCACAGCTCTCCTGGGTAGAGCCCACGGGCAGCTGGCCAGCTGGCAAAAGAGGAACATGGCTTATAGAATTTAGAAACAAGCATAGGGTCCGGCACTGTGACGTAGCAGGTAAAGCTGCCACCTACACTGCCGGCATCCCATATGGGCGCCAGTTCAAGACCTGGCTGCTCCACTTCCGATCCAGCTCTCTGCTATGGCCTGGGAAAGCAGAAGAAGGCCCAAGTGAACCAGCAGATGAAAGACCTCTCTGTGTGCCTCTGCCTCTCTGTAACTGCCTTTCAAATAAATAAATAAATCTTAAAAAAAAGAAAAAAAGAAAAGAAACAGCTGAGAATTCCTTAAAAGGAATCAAGTAGGAGGATTTTTCTCTACCAAGAATCAATACTTATCATAAAAAAATAGACAAAATTATGCCTGCACAGTAAGAAAGACAGTGTAATATGTAGCCATATGGGAAAATAAAAAACCATAAACTTGAACCCTTACCTCCCTAATAGAGTACACAATAACAAACTCTAGATGAGTTAAACCTAAAAGACAAATCTATAAAATTTTCAGAAGTTACATGGGAGAATATCTTTATGATTTCAGGGTGGAGAAAGATCAGACCCAAAAAGTACTAAACATAAAAGGAATAGCTGATAGACTAAATGACATTAAAATTAAGAAACTCAGTCCCTAAGAAATAAAACTAAGTTTAAAACGAAGCACAAAATGGAAATAATCCACAAAGGACTATACTCCACTATATATATATATATATATATATATATATATATATATATATATATATATAAAGAATTTCTACAAGTGATGAGCCAGGGCCCGGCACTGTGGTACAACAGATTAAGCTGCAGCCTGCAACTCTGGCATCCTATGAGAGCGTTGGTTCGAGACCCGGCTGCTCCACTTCCAATCCAGCTCTCTGCTAATGCATCTGGGAAAGCGGTGGAAGGTGACCTGAGTGCTTGAGTCCCTGCCACACAGATAGGAGACCCAAATGGAGTTCCAGGCTCCTGGCTTTGGCCTTGCCTAGCTCCAGCTCTTACAATAATTTGCAGAGTGAACTCAGCAGATGGAAGGTATTTCTCTCTCCACCTCTCTACCTCTCTACCTCTTAACTCTCAAATAAAAAAAAATCTTTAAAAAAAGAATTAGCTACAATGCCCTAGTAAAAACTAAGGAAGTACTTCTGGAACTGGATTTTGAGGGTGCTTGAACAAGGAGACAAGAAAGAACAGAAGACTGGGTAAGCAAGTCATTGGCTGAGTCATGGGCTACATAGGATTTAACATCCTGGCAAGGACACCTAGAAAAAGTGGTGCTAACACTCAGCAAAGAGGGAATTCCTGGAGCTCCCTGGCAGAAGTCAGAGTGAGGAATGAAAAAGGTATATGGAGGGGGCAGGCCGTGGTGGGCATTTGTCAGAACAATTAAGATGTCACTTAGGATGACTGCGTTTGAGCCCCAGCTCCAGCTCCCCATTCCACTTCCTGCTTAATTTTTTTTATTTTTTTATTTATTTTTTTATTTTGGACAGGCAGAGTGCACAGTGAGAGAGAGAGACAGAGAAAGGTCTTCCTTAAAAAAAAAAAGAAAAGAAAAAAAGAAAGGTCTCCCTTTTGCCGTTGGTTCACCCTTCAACGGCCGCTGCAACCGGCGCACTGCGGCTGGCGCATCACGCTGATCCAAAGCCAGGAGCCAGGTGCTTCTCCTGGTCTCCCACGGGGTGCAGGGCCCAAGCACTTGGGCCATCCTCCACTGCCTTCCCGGGCCACAGCAGAGAGCTGGCCTGGAAGAGGAGCAACCAGGACAGAATCCGGCGCCCCGACCGAGACTAGAACCTGGCAGAGGATTAGCCTATTGAGTCGCGGCACCAGCATCCACTTCCTGCTTATGCAGATCTGTGCATGTGTGTGGGCAACTTTAAAAAATGTGTGTTTGTATGTACACACACATACATATATACATATTTTCTTTTAAAGGTATGGCGTTGTGGCACAATGAGTTAAGCTGCCACTCCCGGAACCTCCACTTTTGACCCAGCTTCCTGCTAATGAGTCCTGTGAGGCAGTACATGATAGCTCAAGTGACTGGGCCTCTGCTACCCACGTGGGAGTTTCTGCCAGTGCAAGTTAAGCCACAGCCTGCAGCACCCCTGCATCCTATGTGGATGCTAGTTCAAGTCCCAAATGCTCCACTTCCTAGCCAGCTCCCTGCTGATGTGCATGGGATGGCCCCTGCACCCACATGGGAGACCTGGAAGAAGCTTCTGGATCCTGGCTTCAGCCCAGCCATGCCCTGGCCATTGCAGCCATTTGAGGACTGAACCAGCAGATCGAAGCTGTCTCTCCTCTCTCTGTCCTCCTCTCTGTAACTCTTTCAAATTATATTAAAAAAAAAAAAAAAAAAAAAAAAAAAAAAAAAAAAAAAAAAAAACCACACATCAGGAATGGAAGGTAGGTTCACACCATCAGGTAAGCTCCAGACCTGTCATCACTGACAACAAAGACCTGAAGGAATTTTTTTTTTTTTTTTTTTGACAGGCAGAGTGGACAGTGAGAGAGACAGAGAGAGAAAGGTCTTCCTTTGCCGTTGGTTCACCCTCCAATGGCCGCCGCTGCAGCCGGCGCACCGCGCTGATCCGATGGCAGGAGCCAGGAGCCAGGTGCTTTTCCTGGTCTCCCATGGGGTGCGGGGCCCAAGCACCTGGGCCATCCTCCACTGCACTCCCTGGCCATAGCAGAGAGCTGGCCTGGAAGAGGGGCAACCGGGACAGAATCCGGCGCCCCGACCGGGACTAGAACCCGGTGTGCCGGCACCGCAAGGTGGAGGATTAGCCTATTGAGCCACGGCGCCGGCGACCTGAAGGAATTTTTGAGTATTTGGTGGAGGAGGGTATTGACTACCAGTTGTGGTTCCAAGACAAACAGCAGCAAAAGGGCCTGTAATTCATCCTTCTAAATTTCTCCTAAAGCAGATCTCTTAGGAGTCATGGAATTCATGGAACCGGCAGCCAAGGCAGTGTGCCACCCAGACTGCTTCCAGAGGAACCAGCTCCCTCGCAGCTCCCTCACAGCACAGACACATCCCCTCAGGCTGCTGTCAACAGCGGAGCACAGCAGGGATACAGGTAGCCTTTGCTTGGGCCAAGACTCAGCAGCAAGGTGCAGTCTGAAGTCCATGTTACCCAGTGCTTGTCTTCCCTGTGCTGACGTAACCTTTAGAAAATGTTTGCTGTGGGTAATCTCCACTCGCCAGCGTCTGCAAGAATTTTTGCAGTACTGAGTACAGGTTCCCCGGCCTCCAGCCCTCAGAAAATGTTCATGGCCTGTTACTTGATTTAATCATTTAGAGCATTTTGTTAGAACTTAAGCAATTCTTCTTGAAGGAGCACTCAAGTTCTTAACACATAGTGGTATTAATGTTTGTCTCAGGGCCAGCGCTGTGGCTCACTTGGTTAATCCTCCGCCTGCGGTGCCGGCATCCCATATGGGCGCCGGTTCTAGTCCCAGTTATTCCTCTTCCAGTCCAGCTCTCTGCTGTGGCCCGGGAAGGCAGTGCAGGATGGCCCAAGTGCTTGGGTCCCTGCACCCACATGGGAGACCAGAAGGAAGCACCTGGCTCCTGGCTTCGGATCAGTGTAGTACCAGCCGTGGTAGCCACTGGGGGATGAACCAACAGAAGGAAGACTTTTATCTCTGTCAAATAAATTAAAAAAAAAAATGTTTGTTTCTGGATGACATTGTATTGCAGCAGGTTAAGCCACCCACCTGCAATGTCAGCATCTTATATTGGCACCAGTTCAAGTCCCAGCTGCTTCACTTTCAATCCAGCTCCCTGCTAATGCACCTGGGAAACCAGTGGAAGACGGCCCAAGTACTTGACCCTCCACCACACTCAGATGAGAGTTCCAGGCTCCTGGCTTCCAGTGGCCCTGTCCTTTCAAATAAATAACCAAACCACAAAACTGGAGCAGCAGGAACGACACACTGATCGCTATCACTCGAAGACCTATCAGAGGCAACCTCCCCAGGAATTCATCTGATGACCTTCCAAGAGTTACATTTTTGTGTGTGAGCCAAGTTTTCATTTGTTCATTTCTTGTATTTGAAGTTTTCTTCAAGGAGATCCTTGGCCTGAGATTCTTCACCGTAATCCCTAACCACTACACAACTGCAACTGACCACCTTACGGGGTCCCCCCTCTTGGTCAATCTCAGAGCCCTACCCATTCACCAAGTGTCTTGTCATCAACCTTAATGAGGTTGACCTGGGGTTCAGCACAGAGCCTCCCCCTGTAACGGCTCACCATAGTTAGACACAAGCATGCAAAGACAGGCTTGGTGCGTGTCTGAGGCTTTGGTGGCTCACGAATTCCACGTGCGAGGCCACTGTGGATGAGGGTGGCCTTCAGCACCTCTTGTAAAGCAGTATCAATGTCCATTTCATAGAATCTTTCAGCTTCCTGGTTATAGTGCACTGCAGAAATAAGAATTTGTAGCACAGCTACCTTAACCTTAACTGCTATTTTAACTCTAAGATGAAGCAGCAAAATATCTTGACAGTTCAGGCCCTATCTCAGTAACCTAGCAGCAGGCCCAATTTCTATGGATATCATACGTATATTCCTAAGTCCTGAAGAATTCTGAGGGGCACATTTTTTTTTTTTTTTTTTTTTTTTTTTTTTTTTTTGACAGGCAGAGTGGACAGTGAGAGAGAGAGACAGAGAGAAAGGTCTTCCTTTTGCCGTTGGTTCACCCTCCAATGGCCGCCGCTGCAGCCGGCGCACCGCGCTGATCCTGGCAGGAGCCAGGAGCCAGGTGCTTTTCCTGGTCTCCCATGGGGTGCAGGGCCCAAGCACCTGGGCCATCCTCCACTGCACTCCCTGGCCATAGCAGAGAGCTGGCCTGGAAGAGGGGCGACCGGGACAGAATCCGGCGCCCCAACCGGGACTAGAACCCGGTGTGCCGGCGCCGCAAGGTGGAGGATTAGCCTATTGAGCCACGGCGCCGGCTTACATTTTGCACAAACTTAAAGCACCACTTGGGACGCCTGCATCCCACACCACAGTGCCCAGGTTTCTGTCCCAGTTCTGCTTCAGTTCTGGCTTCCTGCTAGTTGCTCAACTCATGAGGTAGCAGATGATGGTTCAAGTCCTGGGGTCCCTACAGCTCTCATGGGAGACCTGGGCTGAGTTCTGGGTTCCTGGCATCAGCCTAACCCAGCCCTGGCTATGTGGGGCATTTAGGGAGTAAATCAGCAGGTACAAGTATCTGCCTCTGCCTTTCACAGAAAGTGAATATATTTATAATGCATAATTTAAGAAATAAAAATTTTTGACATACAACCAGGCATCAATTCTGAGAGGGAAACAAAGGGTACGGAACACACACTAGAGGGTGAACAGGAGGCTAAGTGGGACTGGTTAGCTTGAGTAAAGACGCCCCATACCTCTTCATTTATTATTTCTTCCAGGTGTTTACCTTATCCTCAAAACCAAAACAACAACTATTGAATTTACTTACTTCTTAGGCTGGGCCTGTATCTAATTTTCCCTTTCCCATCAGAGACAGCTCTCTAAAACCAAGGGGAAAAAAAAAAAGACACTCTCAAATACAAACAAAATATGCATTCAGGTCAGGTGACTGTTTTACATTTTCGTAACATTTAATAGAAACTATATACAATAAAGTTTTACTATATCTTACATAAGATAAATGA